TTTGCATTGTCTCTTGGAGTTCCTTGGGCTAGGCCTGAGATCAATCTTCCCAGACTCTGATTGATCCCAAGTCAGCCAGCCACAACATTGTGAATTCCTCAGGGAGGTGCTGGTCTCATCCTCTTGTATCTCCCACGCTCCTCCGGCGAGCTAAGAAAATATTTTTCTCCCTGAGCCTGGCCTTCATAATTCCATTCCATCACAGCCTGTCTACCTAAGCTGGTTAGTCAGCAGAAACAGCAGAATGCAACAATAAACCCTTTTTGGCTTCCAAGGATGCTGGTGTTATGTCTGCAGGAATAGCTAAAGCCAAAGCTCATCTGCTTCTCCACAAGCTAAAGTATGCCAAGCAGGAATGGGGAATCAGTGGCTCTTGAAATGTTGCTGAACTACAAATTCCAGCAGAGCAAGATACTGTGATGAGACACACTGGAAGCCGTAGCTCAACATCTGAAGATTCAGATTCCACATTTCACAGTCTTGCTGCATAATTTAACCAGCTTTTGTTTTCAGATACTTTTTTTTTATTCCTAAATGGCACATGTAGTAGCAAGTTCTACTAAATCTACTGGGATCTATTCTAAATACTCTCATAGAAGGCTTTGCTGCATATGCCTTCCCAGCCTAACACATGAATGGAGGATTACTGATGGAAGGATGAAATTTGAGGTATGGTGTTTCCTGAAATATGGGGAGGTAGGGAGAGTCTGCATGTTTAGAAAAGGTATATAACCATGTAATAGGAAGAGAGGCATACTAAATTTTATTTGCAGTGAAAGACCAAAGTGAAAGGGACAGAGGCAAGGAAATGCTTAGACAGAAATCATTAAAAACCAAGAAGAAACAGTGAGAGAATTTGTATAAGGATAAACTAAGGTGACTGGAAAGCCTGAAGTTTCCAAAGCCCCATACACTGGACAGCTGCCTCCCACTTTTTCTGTGTTTCAGTGTGCTGGTGAAAACATTACAGTGCAACCTTTCCTGTACTCTGTACACAATCATGGTTAACACTGTTATTCTTCTTTCAAATATTGGAATTTCTGCTGTCAAAATGAAGCTGCAGGAAATATAGGAAAGTAGTAATTTGATGATCATGTGGGAAGTCCAAGGAAAAAATTAGAGCAAAGCCAAGCCATTCCACCCAATGCCTGTCAATGGGTGAATTCTGCTACGTTTTAAGGTTTATACTACAGACCAGAAACAATTACAATTATTTTTTTACTATACTGCTTTTCCTCCCAAGGAAACCCAGAGTAATGTATACAAGAATTTTTTAAAAAATCAATAAATCAACCATAAAACAAAATAAAAACCCTGTAGCATGTTAGCTGTAGAACAGTTAAAACAAAAACAAGCACATCTTAACTGGTCATTTGAAACTAGGCAGGCTGAGATACTTTACTCACAAATGTTCCATAATGAAATGCTGCCTCTGCTAGTCAGACCCAGAAGTGGAACCATGAGCACCTCCTCTCTGGTTGATCTTAACACACAGCTAGGCTAATATGGATTTGCATTCCCATAACAAGGGGATGAAGGCAGCTTATAAACAGTACATTTTCTTCAAACAAGACAGAAGAGTTCTTACTACAGTGAACAGGATCAAAATTATGTTCCTAGCATGAAACAACCATTTCTACTGATTTTAAAAGTAGATGCAGTGACTGCAGCTTAGCTTCTTAACATGATGAACAGTTTTGAAGGGGAAAAAGTGATTTGGAGCAAGCAGGAACAATCACAATTGCCAGCAATTCCTTAAACATTCCAACTCATCTCTTCCTGGGCCGCCAAGCAGTTTCAGGAGAAAAACATGGCCTTCAGAGGTGTGACATGCACACTTATGCATACTCTAAATCAATTTTTCCCCTTCAGATCTAGATTACTACAGAGTCCTGTCTTCTCATGATGCTATGCCATTCCAGGAAGTGGTCTGAGGGGAAGGTAAGGTAGGGATAGGAGTGGGAAGCTTCCCAAAGCCAACCACTCCTATTTCAATTGGTAATCCACCCCAAAACTTGAAAAATGCAGCAAAATTGTGCCACTGAAATATGGAAGTTCTGTAGCCAAATTTTAACATCATGGTTGCAGGGTGTGCTGGGGGACAGAGAGCCAGCAATGTAGGAGACGTACTACATTAAAGTAAAACAGCTCTTGGGCAGAATATCTGAAAGCAGGTCAGCAAAACTGTATCCTGTCAGAGTCCCATATACTTTTTAATATCACCACCCAAAAATACCCCCAACACCACCCCAAATAGCATGGAGAGGTAGAAGTTTAGATGAGCGAAAGAGTTCAAGGAACCCACTGATTGTCTTAATTGCATAATGTTAACAAAGAACAATACATGTTGTAACAGTATAAAAGCACAAGCTGCCAATGCCAAAAGAATTTGGGTATTTTTTGAAGAACAGTAATTATATTGCTTGCATGCCAAAATGTATATTATATAAAAACTAGAGGAACAAAATAGATATATTACAGATACAGATATTCTGACTTGAGGCAAAGAATAAATACCATATCTATAGAATCAACCATAACTTCAAATTTTAAAAATTGAGTTATGCCTGCAGACACTGAAGAAACATAATTTTCTTTAGAGGACTATGTTCTAGCTGAAATGCAGAGAAAAATGAATAATCCACTCAAAAAAACATGACAACTAGAGTTGATGTATGCCTTTTCTGACACCACATTCACCAAAAGATGGTGTGAATGGGCAACACAAAGGCAAAATTTTACACCCTGAAATTCTAAATCAATTATTTTTAATCTGTTAACTATCTGATAAGAAACGATGTTTTTGTAGGGTCCATACCTGCATCCTAAGCATTATTTGTCATTCAAAATGGCAGCTATTTCTGCTTACATCTGAAAAACACAAAAGAAATGGATATTTACAGGGTCATTGATTACTTGCATTGATACAAATCATTCTCTAGTACAGTAGTAAAATCACAGTTACAATCTGAGCTAAAGGGAGAGAAAAGAAAGGAAACTGACAAATATAGCTGCCTACCTGGTTGTTCCAAATGTTAATGTGGAATAGAGAATAATATGGAGTTATGCTCTAGGAACCATCCCAAGCAAGCAGCCTACTTCATAAGTAATTTCTTGAGGGAAACAATTTATTTACTATTACAGTTTTCTTCTGCGAACAACAGGCGGTCTACATTTATTTATCATATTTATATAGCTAGCCATCTCACACAAAGTGACTCTGAAGGGCTTCCCTCATTTGATTCTCTCAACTCTACGAGGTATGGTAGATTATGTTAGGAAATAGTGGACTGCCCCAAAGTCACACACTTAACACGGACAAGTAGGCTCTTGAGTTTTCCAAATCCTTAATCACTATATCACACTACATTTCAGCAAAAGTAGACATTTTCCCTATTATTTTCTGGTTCCAAAGACCTGAAATGAACATGATAATGCTGTGCAGTGATCTAGATTCAAAGTGGAAAAGGCGATTCAGAGCATGCAAGGGCCTGCACATGACACTTGTGGGCACCTCCTTAAATCACACACATCCTTTCCTGTGTGTGTGATTGAGTGGGAACTTAAGAAAAGGCACAGCTTTACAGTGCAATGTGAGTCACTGTACATGCGCCAAATAACCTTTTCCCCTTTGAATCCAAATCACTGCACAACGCTAATGGATAGGGTTGAGATTTTCAGTCTGCTTTTTAATATTACTTTTAATTTGTTTTTTTCTTAAACAAAAGTTAGATGTATTAAGCTTCCCTAAAGTTTAGCAACCTATTTTACAGCTTAAATTGTCTCTAAAAGAGGGGGGGGGAAACATAATTCTGATGTTAATTTTGGTACTGTAATCCTGGGAACAGCATGCCGCTTATGAGACACGAATTACCAAATTCTCTTCTTTTACTTCAATGAACCATCTATACCAATATATCAGGGAATACAGTGGTACCTCTGGTTACGAACGCCTCTGTTAATGAACTTTTCGGGTTACAACCAGCTCTGGCCACAGAAATTTACCTCGGTTTGCAAACTCCACCTCGGGGTACGAACAGGATATGCGGCCATTTTCCCTCCCGTGACACGGTCTGCGGCCATTTTCCCGCCCGACATGTGGTCCGCGGCCATTTTTCTGCCCCTGACATGTGGTCATAGGGAGGGGGACTCTCCCTCCAAGCAATAGCTACCTCCCTGTCCTCCACGCCAGAACGCATTAAAGGTATTTACAATGAAACTTGTGTGGAAAATTTCTTCGGGGTGCGATCAGAGTCA